AAATTATTAATGGATTTAAAAGGTAGAGCACAATTTTATACCTGTTTTTATACTATTATATATATATTATTGTACGAGAATATTAAATTGTTAATTGTTGATAAATTTAACAAAAATTTTATACAATTTTATACAGTTGACAGATATGCTATTGCTCAAAGAAGTATCCATATAATTTATTTGCAAAATTATTGTTCCTTTCGTCGATAAAATTCCCGTTTACGCTCGTTTGCTCGTCATTTGACTTTCTAGTTAATCACATAATACTCAATACGTTAAAAATTCCCGCGTTCATTTCCTTCTGCTTATAAGACTGCCTATCGCTCTAATCAACGTAACAAGATGCGCAAGGGCGCGAGACTTGCTGGAAAAGTTTACGTTACTTTCGAACACCTCTCCTTGCGAAAAGTTGGCTCTTCAACTACTTTACCTTCAGAACACGTCTTCCGGAACTCGCAGGTGCGACAGGATAGAGAGTTCTTTAGAGAGAGGGCCTAGCCTCGATGGTGATCTTCGTACAAGGATAGCGAAAGAAAGCTTATGAACATCGCTCGCTGGCTGGATCAGTTCTGCAAGAGAAGTTGCGATATTTCGCAAGATTATGTTTAATAGCTTTAATTGGAGCGCAATAAGCTTCGTGTCCTCGAAGGAACTTGACAGAAATTTGAAAGAAGATGAATACTTTTATTCGTAGGTATTTGGGTATCTGCTAGTCTTCGATAAAAAATGAAAAAAAAACGAAGAATTGGAATTTTGTTGGAGGAAATACAAAATACAAAATTCGCAAGGGAACAATGAATTGGTAATTATGAGAGATCTTTGTCTACATTGTGAAATCATTTGGAGGATGTGAGAATTATAAATAAGAAAAATTATTGAAAATTTAGTAATATAAGTTTCAGATTTCCCTATAAGTTTATGTAAAATGATAGAAATTTTAGTAATTTTGTAATAACTTTTATAGTATCGTTTTCTGGAAATGTTAAAGTATTTAATAACCGAACTGTAGGTAAATTTTAAATTTGAATTAAATTCATCAATCAAGAATAAGTGCTTTATTTAAAAGAAATCATAAATGAATGAAAGAATAACCTAAGTACAATAATTAATTAATAAAAATCTGGAGATGGAAATATTTATTAGTCTAGAATTACTTTATTACTATTGATTTTTCTTGGTTTGTTCAACAAACTGTCTAGAAAACTTGGCTGAAAACTATTTAGTTTTTTCTGGGAAATTTTCAGCTGATTAACAGACCATTAGCTTTGGATATAGTGTTCCTTCCATTGCAAACTTGGTGTACTTTTTCTAAAGAAGTAACTGCAATAGCATCTGTCTGTGAGGAAAGTTCCCTTCGGACTTGGAATCGTTTGTCAAGTATACGGGGTTCTAAAGATCGTTAAAAACTAATTTCTACTTGCTCTTGAAAAGCTCTTCGGATATGACAGGTCTTATCGTGGAGGGTGAAAGAAGCAGAAACTTTAAAATCGAAATTTTCAACTTTTGGCAACATAATATAGTTCTTCTCTCTCTCTCTCTCTCTCTCTAAGATAACATTCTCCATTAGCTCTCTAATAATAACACTCTACGAGTTACTCTATTCTTTAACGAAGAATAATAAAAATATATTAGTAGTTTATTCTTAAAAGTAACAAATTTCAAACAAGAATATGTTCAATTGCAAATAAAATTTCGTCTCCCCTTTTCTATTTAAATCGTCAAATATTTTCAATACTAACATCACAGTTCCACGTATTAAAAACTGTCAGTTATGAAATTTCAGATTTCCTATCTTCAAATTTTAAATTCCAAATTTGTCTTTCAAACTTGAAACTTGAAACTTTGAATTTTGAAGCTCTTCAAGTTTGAAGACTGTTCAATTTTACAAAAGTTTCCGATAGTTTTAAATGTTTCATTTGAGAGGTATCAAAAGACTTTGAAAGATTTATTTCTTGGTTGTGTTTCAAACGCTATTACAATGAAATATTTACTATAATTCAGGTTCCCATAATAGTTCAATGTCTTTCGTTACTGAAAATTGTATATTTTTGAACAACCTTCGTGTGAAACAATAGTTCTTATAATTTTTGCACATCTTCATGAAACTTGATTGACGAAATATAATATTTGATAGATTTTATCTTAAATTCAAAGTAAGTGTAGCTTAGCTGAACAGTAGCACTCTTGATTCAATTAAATTTTCATTTCATGTAAAATGTTTCGAAATTTCTTTCACTTTGTTCATGCGACACAAACACACACACACACATACGTTTTTTTACTTAATGGAAAGTTTATTTTTTTTAATTGCATTTTTACAATTCACATACTCATAACAATTTACCCTATTGAAATAAAAAAAAGATATACATCAATTGAATTTGGTCGTTGTTTCAGTTTTCCAATCAAATTTTCTCGAGTTTGAACAATTTTTTCTTAATTTTCGAAAAATATTTCCGACATGTGAGAGAGGTGATTGATATGTATATTGAAGAATATTATACGATATGTATATAAATAGAGAAATATTCGGAATAGAGACGAACTCCGTCTGCGCAGATGTAACGTTTCAACTGCTAACGAGCTAAAAGCTTCTAGAGAACCATTCGAACGAACTAGTGTCGTATTTTGACGATCGATACCACTACTGTCCAATTAAAAAAACGTTAAATGCCACTTTGCAAATTCGTAGCAGATATTGATCCCAGATATTGTTATTTAATTGGAATCGGAAAGAAATTTGACAATCTCTGTATCTACAAATTTCTTTTCCATCTCTAAATCTATAATCTTTTTTTTATTACTACAATTTGAATTTCTACGAACAATTTATGTTACAAAATGAGATATGAATTACGAATACATTTTCTTTTTAGTACCAAAAATACTTTTAATATCTATCTATAATTAATTAAAGTTAAAGCGGAAAATATGAATAATATTGAAGTTAGTGCCAAAAAAAGACTATACGCGCAATAATTTTCAAAACGAAGAATCATCGGATACTATTACGACTGGTTTAGTAGTTGAGGTACAAAATGAATTTAATTTAATAATATTCAATGCTTCACTCTGTTCCGAGATAAATAAATCTCTGCGCGAAACAATCGCAGAATCGTTAAATTCAACTTTCCGTCTTTCAAAAATTTCCACAGTTTTCATCGCCATTCAGTTTATATAAACGAGGGATCGCGAGCAAATGTACTGTATAGACTGTGTAAGCCCTAAATGCCGGGATTAAAAAGTGAAACTGCAGGTATCGTTTTAATCGATAAAGCCACGTCCACTCGCGGCAGTTTAAATTGAAATTATAACCTTCAGCAAATTGAAGAGCGTGGTTATCATCGCGCGCCACGATATGCCATTTAATTTGCCCGGCGCGCGCGAAACAAAACACTTTCCCTTCGACGATTGAAATGACGATTAAAGTACCGGAGCGTGGCCAATTATCGCGAATCAATGGCATGAAACAAAAGCCCGTGCCGTGGCCCCTTCGTCCCGCTTAACGTTAAGGGGAAAAGAAAATCGAGCCACACGGCGCTGCGATAATAGTCATTTAATTCTTTCTTTCAGAAATTTTCAAGCAATTTGCCCACAATTTGCGCACAATTTTCCCCCCACACGTGAAATATTATTTTTCTTTTCTTTTTTTTTTTTTTTTTAATCTGCAACTCATTTCGTTCAGTGGAAGGTTCAACATGAAATGTGAGATATGGAATTATTTTTATACCGATTGGAAATTTAGAAAATTTAGAAGGAATTTATATTTTTTTTATTTTAAGAGATTTAGAAAATTCGATGATTTAAGAGATTCAGAAGAATTTTAACGTGCATTATCGTAAATTATTTGAATTATTGAATCATTGAAAATTTATTGTGCAATATGAAATAAAATATGTTTAACAATTTCGAAAGTGATTCGTCTCCACGCTCAACTAACATTAGACATTCTTCTTTAATTGGAAGAATTGCAATTTGAAATTGCAAAGGGTCTTAAGAAAATTATCCATAAGAGTTCGAGGATTTATAGTATGTCACGATTCACGAACTGTTTAATTAAACTAGATTACAGAAGCGATGCTTTTAATGTAAAATATAAGTTTGTATCTTCTTGTAAGGATGGATGAGTTTAATTTACTCGTCCATAAGAAATGATATTCGATCAATTATAATGAGAATAAAATTAACGTCTATTAATTTGATCAGTGAAAGTGAGAGTCGTCGTTTCTTCTCTAAAATTTTATCAATATTTTTAAACGTTCAGAAACTACTTTCCACGAAATTTCATAATGACCATAATTAAATAATACTTAGAAATACACGCACTTCATTTGAAGAAAAGAAAACATGCATCAACGAAATTCACTCAGTCTCATTTCTATTCGCAGTATTCGCAATACTAACGTCAATGTTCTATTCATCTAACATGTAAACTCTAGATTCTTTGAGAGTAAAAAACTCCTAAATGCAAAAGTACAGTTAGCAGGAATATCCGTTATGACGTTATAATCTTTTAACAGGTGGAACAATGTCTCTGTTTAAATTCATTCGTTTCGTTCGTATATATATATATTTAAAATAGATATTCGTAAAAGTTTGCTTCGAGAGAAAGATCGGCGATGCAACGATGGTGAACCACGTTCGTAGCGGCGAAGCTAAATTTCACGGAAAGTTCCGAGTGATCGACAGCACCTTAAACGGGTGGTCAAACAATAGGGACGCGGATCGGTGAACCGATCACGTCGCGACGTAACGCAACGCCGTTCAAGCGTATTCACGATCAACCGGGCGATTCGCCGGTTTTACGACCGGGCTGCGTCGACGATGCGTCGATCGCGGTGTTGCGCAATATTTGCGAATACGCAACGAGACATCGGTAGATCGGGTCCAGATAGCCATCTATTCAACCGAATGGCGTGGCGTTCGAGCGTGGCCCGGTGTACGCGAATTGTACACGATGGAGGCGGGCTGCTATCGTTGCAATGTGGTCATTGTTTCAGTACCACCGGATATCCTGGACGACTCCACCAGCACCGACATGGAGGTACAAGAGGGTAGCAACGTAACGTTACGATGCGCCGCCACTGGTACCCCCAAGCCGAAAGTCACGTGGCGACGTGAAATCGGCGGCACCATCGCACAGTCGAATTCCCACGAAGGTACGCATTTGAGAGGTAAACGCATCTTACCGATCAAAAGTGTTGAACGTTCCGTTTCGTTCTGTGTTGATTCTTTGCTGTTTCGTTCTGTGTAGAATCCAAAATACTCTGAGCGAGACAATCACCATTGGATATTGGATTTTAGATGATTTATTTAAATATATTACACACAGAACGTGTGTTCAAATTTTTGACCGGTAGCGTATAATATGACTTGGGTGATATTTTTTCTTTTTTATGTTTTATTTGCATCGTTACAAGTATCATTACAAATTTCGTGAAATAACTTTGGTTATACGTTATACGTTATACGTTATTATACGGAAATAAGTTTTTAAGTTTCATTTAGGATTTATAATAAATTAATTTCGGAATTTATCATTATATCATATCAATTTCATTTTTAAAATTAGATTATATATATGTGCATTGTAAATATAAATTTCATTCTTATATAAAATTAGGTTTCATGTTATAAATTTAGGTTATAGTTAAATTATATTATTTACAGTTGGACAGGTGATTTTGAAGTCTCTTTATTTTTATTAAATACACTTGTTTCAAAGAACTACGATTTTCATTAAACATTTGATTTCTGACTGTGAACACATACATTTTCGTAGTTTACTGTCAAATTAGATTATATATTGTATATATATGCATTGTAAATATAAATTTCATTCTCATATAAAATCAGGTTTCATGTTATAAATTTAGGTTATAGTTAAATTATATTATTTACAGTTTGAGAAGTGATTCTGAAGTCTCTTTATTTTTATTAAATACACTTGTTTCAAAGAACTACGATTCTCATTAAACATTTGATTTCTGACTGTGAACACATACATTTTCGTAGTTTACTGTCACTCGTCAACATTGAAACATTGCACCCAATCTTCGCAAATGATCTGCTCTAATATTTTCATTGATCGCATGTAGCCTTACTTGAATATAACTCAAATTCGGCGCAATTTGCCATCCAATTCGTCTCTTGCTCCTCTTTGACTCATTCGCGCCGAATAGAACTACGGTGTTACATATTCCCTTCTCTCGTACCTTGGTCCATTTATGCCTGCGCTCTGTCTGCCTGCAGACATTGTTATCCTGCAATCGTTCTCGCCTCGTTCTCCGTATATTGCCACTTCCCTCGCGTCGAGAAGCACACTTTCCCCTCGGTGGACTTTCCTCCGACGAATAAACCTGCGACAGACACACGATTCGTCCTCTCTGATTGCACGAGATCTTTATTGCGAGGATAGACTAGCGGTGGTCGGATTTTGACAGCCACGTCGGCTGAATGAGATCGCATTCTCTGTTCGTTTCTTTTGGCACTTGGCACTCGTACTCGGCCACGAGGTGTCTTGCGAAGAATTTCGACTTTCGTGTGAGATTTGAAGAGTATTCGAAGAATTTTTAATTTGAACCTTATATGCTGGCATACACACTGTAGAACTTGTCAAACGTTTGTTTTTTTCTAGTAAAGATTGTTGAAAAATTCTCACGAATTGCAAGGCGAATTTATGCACAGCTTGCTTCAAATATTCTTTAGTGATTCGAATAATCGTTTATTATCCTAGTTCAATATTGTGCACGTATTTGTTTATTTTTGGTTTGTTTACGATAGAATTAAAATACTATCATAATTTACAACTCTTGAGTATTGCTCGAACAGTATAGCGTTTGCAATTTCCAAGTGTCGTGACTAAAAATCTTAACTGTTGATCAAAGAGCAAATTGATTAAAAAATTTAAATTTTATTTGTCCTTTGTTTCAAAGTATGTGAAAACAAATGATAGAAGTATAAAATCTAAAGTGAAACGTAATAAACGTTTACTTTGCTAGCTCATGTAATATTGCTTCAATAAAATTCAACAAAACGGTCCCGATTTAGCACAAGTTAACATGTGCAGGAGAGCATAATTCAATTTTGCTGTGCGAGAGTAATTAGAGTTGTATTTCGATACAATTTAACGCGGTCAGTTGGCACGAAATTTGACTTCTGCAAAATGTATAGGAACAGATGAAAACAATCGATGAAACGAACCAAGTTAGTATTGCGCATCGGTGGAATACTAGGCTCGCTGATTTAAAGTTTCGATTCGTGATTAAGCGATTTAGGAAATTTGGAAATCGTAGAAACGATTGAAAATCACGGAGATTTGAAAATGCCAAAAATTTTCGAAAATTTCGAAATTTTGAAACTACGAACATTTGAGAACTTGATTATTTCAAAGTTTGAGGCAGCAAAAGTCTAGAAACTTGAAAATTACGGAGGTTTGAAAATGCGAAGATTGAAAATTGTGAAACTTTGAAAGTTTGAAATTTCGAAACTACGAATACTTGAGAACTCCAACGTTGCAATGAAACAGCGAAAACTTTGAAGATTGTTGAAAGCTCGAGAATTCGAAAATACCAGATAATTCCTGAAAATTTGAAAACCTAAGAATTTGCTAGTTTAAAATTAAAAGTTCAGAAGGGAAACTTTTTTTCACGGCATCTGCTAATCATCCAAGCTCGTTAAATCAACCTACATTTCTATGCCGTGTTCGGCTACTTTAGCAAACGGCCGTGGTTAATTATAATCGAAGCGCGGGTCGAAAAATAGTTCGTTTTCGGTATTACAGCGAAAGGTGAATCCAGTTAAGCATTGATCGTGTGCTTTACTGTCCATGCATTGTAATTGATTGACGGTCTGCAGTAATACGTTTATGGATGTCGCGCGGTGTTATTCAATGTGTTTTCGGTCACTGACTTTCCTGTCACACGCGCGCAAATGTAACGAGGGTAACGTTATTCAAAAACGGTCCGGTCCTATTTTGGTCGATATATTTGACACAATTACTCGCACGACTTTACGCGCGGGAAGGGGAGGGGGGAAAAAACAGTACATCCAATTATAATTCAGTGGAATACCATTTATTATTCGATTAATTATTCTCGTTCCTATAATATAACGCGGGTATCAATCAAGAATTATTAACGATCTCTAGAGAATTCTAATTTGAAACGGAACGAGTCACGAAAACGCTCGATGAAAGCAAATTGCCAATAAATTTCTAACAATAATCTGTCTATGATATGTTGAACGGATTGGTCGCTATCGTCGAACGATGTTAATGGCTATTGATATATTATTGATAACTTAATAAATGATATCGTTAAAGTACAGATAAGATAAATAGGAACATAGCGGAATATAGCGCGTGGAATGTATCGCGTGGCAAATGCATCACTGGATTGTGAATGTCGTGTGTAAATTTGTAATTTTACGAGTACAAGTACATGGAGATTTGTTTCGGTCGTTAAATATCATTCGAGAGTATCTCGTGTACATATATTCCTTGTATCGGTACATTTTTCACGTTTTCATACCTTTAATTCTTTCTTCGCTCGTTTCATTTCTGTTTCTGCTGCTGTATGGAAAAACAGAAATGAAAATAAATACATTCGATCGAGAGTGTCACGAGTGAGCGAATTCTGCAGGAAAGCTGATAATGATTCATCGTGCAATTCTGTTATATTATATTATTATACGTTATCGTATACGACAGAGTAGATTCTCGCGCGATTTTAAATCGCCCACAAGGACGAACACTCGTAGTCCGAGTAAACCCAACGACCACCTTTCACCCTCGATCTCTTCCCTATCTTTTTCCACCTTTGCTCTTCCCCGAGCATTCGTTTCCTCGCCGCAAGCCAACCAATTAAACGTCGTTGGCTCCGTATGGCCAAATTAATGCGTCGATACTTCAATTATATAAATGAACCTGACAGCGCGTCTCGATAGCCAAAGTGGAAACGAACGAGGATGGACCGATCTATCCACCGATTCGATAAAATCAATACCAGCTCGGTTTCCTTATCTGTTCCCCGTGGATTCCAGGTGGAATCGACGCGAGGAGGCCAGTTTCAGTTTTTAACTTCATTCAAAGCGTCCACCTTTGCGTCGTTTCGTCCAACCTTTCGTCCCTTAATTACCATTCCTGATCCCTTGTTCGAATTACTCTCAGTTGCCTCTTCTTCTCTTGCCGTTCCGTTCTCTTTGCCCGATACGCCATTTCTCCGTTCCTCCGATCCACCCCTCGGCTCCCTCGAGGCGTCCCGTGACTGTTCAACCTATTCCGTGACTAATTGCACACGGAAGTGCAGGGGACGTTTCGAATTGTACGGTGTGCAGGTGCGTAAGCAAAAGGGTTAGCCGAACCCTTTCCCTCTATCGTCCTCTTCTCTCCCAACCCTCCTTCTGTCCCCTTGTCCACGGTCGTTCGCAACCCTCTTCGCCCTTTGCAGACCTCGAGTTTAAACGCCTAAGACTTGGCACCGGCGAAACGATCGACACAATTGTCCAACGTTTGTCGCTTGTATCGTCTGAGCGGTGTAATTCTTTTAAACGATCGAGCTTCGATTCGATCCCCGTTGATCGATGTGCTTAAGTCTAATATTTTTATAGCTCGGTCGAACTGACGTAGAATCGAGGTATGAAATGGCTGTGTCCTTTCTTTATCCTTTCTGGAAGGAACTGACAGTTTTAAAGGGGGATCTGTAAGGATTGGAAGTTGCGAGAGTGGGCAAGAATTGGAACGGTCGGGATCCGTTTCTGCTTCTGCTTGGATCTGTGGAAGCTTAACCTGGAACTGTCTTCTCTGGCCTTGGACGAAATAACAGCTGAGCTGGTTTGACAAATCGCGCGATCACGTTTGAACAGTCGTTTCGATCGTCCCTGCCAGTTACTTTCCCAGGATTTTGAATGAATCTTTAATTCGCCGGGAGGATTTTGTTCTCTGATGAGTTGGCACGGGAAAAATTTTGCAAAGTGAATGTTTTAGCGCGTTTTGAGGTTTCGAAATTATCGAGGCTCTGAAATTCCACTGAAATTCCAAGTTCCAAAAATTTCAAAATATCTCGGATTTATACAGCTGCAAAAGTTTGAATTCCCGAAATTTGGAAAAATTTCGAAATTTCTAAAATTACGAATTTGTAAAATTGTGACATTTGAAATTTCAAGTGTCTAAAAATTCCGAGAATCCTCTCAAGTTTTAACCAACCAATGAACTCCGAACAATCATACTGCTTTTCTTCATTCGAATATACATCATCTTCTCGCGCTCATCGCGCGGCACTTGAATCAAGGCAGTCCACCTTCGAATTTCATACGGAATTCTCAAAAATCTCTTCAGTGCGTATATACCGAAAGCTTTGAAAGCTTCGCACCTGCACATCCCGATGTATCGGGATCCAAAGTTTCGACGTGAAAGAAAAAGGGAACGCGTGTATGTGTGTGATCGATATCAAGGCGAAAGGGAATTTCGTCGGCGCGGCCAGAAGATAGCAGCGAAATTCCAGTGATTTATTCACCAGATGAACCTTTTATCGTCCTAGCCTGGTTTTAAGGAATCGTTTAAAGCATTTGTCGCCGCTGCTTCTTTTTGTTCTGCTCATTCGCTTCTTCTTCTTCCTCGCCAGCTGTCGATTCACGACAGGAGAAGCGGTTCGATTCCATTAAGCGATAAGTAGAGGAAAAATAAAATATTCTCTCGATCCTCTGTACATACCTCTCTCTCTCTCTCTCTCTTTTCTTTTGTCTTCCTCCCGCGCCTCTGTTCCCTTGACTTCCACTTTTGAACTGGACTGTTTCGCAGTCGACGAAACTCGATGACGGCCTTGGTGAAGGTGAAGAGCAAAGTCTTCTCTCAGGCGAACAGCTAGGAAACGATATTAGCGGCAATTGGCCAACTACGCTTGACACATGGAACGAATCTCAATGGGTTAAACGTTTTTCTCAACAGGTGTTCAAAAGAATATGCCTTTTTTACGTCTCTGTCGTCGCAGATTCAATTACCGGAGCGCCCCTTCCCTTTGAAGTGTGAACTCGGAGATCTTGCGATTGCATTCTCTACCTGCTTGCCGTTTGAGTCGAAAGTTTACAGCGAGCTGGCCCCTTGACAAAAAGTGTGTTTGATTTCTCCTTCGTCGTTCGTTACGAATCTCGAGCCCCTCGTTCGATCTGCGTTTTCATTTCTCAGTTCTTTGGAAATTAATCGCTGGACGGCGTGGCGAAAAGGGGAGAGATCGGAGTCTGACTGACGATTGGAAATTGGAAACTGAAGATTAGTAATTCGCATTTGGTAGATTTCAATTTAGAGTTCTTTTTCTCGTCCTAGCTCCAAGCTGTGTTCAGCGACGGGATGAGAAATTGGAAATTTTAGTGGCTGGGAATTAAAAATTAGTGGTTGGCGTTTGATGTGTATGTTTGTTCGTCGCAGTTTAGAGAATATTAATTATTTAACGACGGAGTGGGAAATTGGAAGCTTTAGTAAGATTGCTAAATGTGTCGGCATTTGACAATTATTGGTTATAACATTGATAACTAACAATATCGAAAATTAGTGAAATCGTCAAAAAATTGACAATTGTTATTGGAAACTTGTAACTGGTATTTGATTATTGAAAATTAGCCATCGAATTTAACTCGATGTATTTATAGCTTTATCCGTATTATAAATATCTGTATTATTCTTAGTAGCAATTCAAAGTCGATTATCGAAAATATAACCGACGTTATTTTAGTACTTGAAAATTCGTTTTATTTTACTTTAAACAAAACACAATCCACGTTATTCTCAATTAAATATATTTATCTCTCTACATTTTTATTTGCAATAATATAAAATAACGACTCTTAAATTTCACTTTTGTGAACCTTTGATACAACTGTTCGAATCTCATAATACACAAACACACGAAGGCGTTGTTTCAAATAATTCCAACGTCCAGGGCCAATTATTCCTTCATATCGTATAGCTATAGTTCTCCATTAAATATTACTGCGAGAACTGTACTCACAGGTAAAGCGCGAAATGTAATAAAATTTTTGCAATTAATTAAATCGGCGACGAAACGGCACCGCGTTGCGATAAAATTCGATTTTGTCGTGTTTGCTCGACATTCGCGATTTCCGTCGTGGAAAATTCGAAAAATTGTTTACAGGCTGTCTGGAGTCCGCTCGCTTTGTTTCGATGCGTTCGGCGCGCAAAACGTTTTTTTTTTTTTTTCTTTTTTTAAAATTGAGCTTCGGCTTTCAACTTGACCATCAATTTCGCAGAAATCAGCAGGAGATTCTAAATCAAAAGAATCGAATGACAAACAAACCGGGCGGAACGGCGTTGGATTTCACTTTGAAAGCTTCCCGTTTAAAAGTTCCCTGTATAAAAATTAAACTCGTCCGAGCGAAGAGTCCTCGGCATGATATGACATTGTAAATTGCGAGATTTTCTAATTTTATAAAGGGAGGAAATTTCGAAAGTGGAAGCTTTGAAGGAAAGTTTCTCCGGTAAAAAAAAAAAAAAAGGAACTTCTGATTATTGTGGTGCTGGCTACTTTTTCGAGAAATTGCGACGCCAAGCGTATGAAATTTCCTTCGAATCGTTAAACTTTCACAGTGAAACTCCGAGACCGCCACCTGCCTTTATTTAGCTGCTTAATTATTTTAAATTATGAATCTTCCGCCGCGCTTTAAATGTTTTTAAGGAAAGTTTCCAGTCATTACGGCCGCGGCTTTGTACACGTTTTGTTAGGGAGAGTATTGTAGCATTACGGAAAGAGTTATTGAAATATACAAATTTTAGATCGGAAAAGTATTTAACTCGAGAGCCGTAATTGTTTAAATTATAAGTCACAAAATGAACATTAGTAACTGATTGAATTTTCTAGTATATTTATTTCTTATTTGTTATCTCTTGATATTTGAATTTTAGTTATTGACCTAATCGAAACTTCTCGAAAAAATTAGTCGAGTAATATGTATATGTATAATAAAGTAATAATAATAACCGATATTAAAAATTTATATTTAAGATAAACAAACAATTGACATACTTATCGAACCATTTTTAAATAGAATTAGAAATACTAGTGATAATGAATAACGGTCTTCTAGGAATCAAGACAATATCTATTATTGGAACATTCGTCAAATTTTCAAACTATCCTGTGATCAAATATGGAAAACTCAGAGAACGATTATAGATTCATTCGATTGTCAACAATAAATCACATTCGACGCGATTACAACTTTTCGTGCATGTGTATACATACATACATATATACGTACCTACATTTCGTACATCACTCAGTCTGTTTCGTATCTCTACAGCATTGACATACATGTCGGCCCTGCTTCGTTCTCAGATTCTCAAATAACGTACGCCATTGAGGTTCATAACGTTAGGAAATTAGCATCTCCTTTCATGGCCTTTGCCATTACAGTCGCTACTTTAATAAATCGTCGGTACGCGAAATTTCACGGGTCACAGAGGAGCGTCTCCTTAAACGCGGTTACATCACTTACGCGACCCCTCGAGCGATCTAATTAAATCTCTTAAGCAGGTTTTCCGTTTTTCCCTTGCAGCGTTCATCCACTCGTATCCAGTGTATCGCGCTCCGACTTCTCGTGGCTCGAATATTTTCCAGCAGATTACAGCCGTTCCCCTGGTATAATCATATTTAACGTTTACCAGCCTTAGCAGCAGCCGCTCGGTAACGTTATTACTCGTAAACATAGGCATTGATTACGTAAACAGCTGGCAAACTTTATAACAATTCACCTATTCCGTGTACTCGCCGTTAACGAGAATGCACACTTACCATATTGAATATGCGAATCCGCTTAATTCCCGCAGGATGTAATTTAATTTCACGCGATCACGGGTCCGGGAACGATTTTGGCAGTGGTAGTAAAGATATCGCGTAAATTTCATCAATTTCCATTTTGTTTAATTACTGGAATCAAGAAGCGTGATCTGAATGGACATTTTACGATAAAATGAAAGTTTCTCGATAAAACTTTAGATACTTTGCGTGTGTTTTTTCTTCTTCTTTATGTTGTACAGGGAATATGCACATTTTGTTTTGAAAAATTTAAATCTTCGCAAGTTTAATGATTAATAACACGCCGCGGAGGGTTTTATACCGTTGATGATAAAATTTGAATAGAATTAAATTTAAACGGGGGATAACGTTTCATTTTCTAAATATTTATTATCGCGATTAATACTGTGCTTTGAATATTTCACGTGTTCCTGCATGTTATATTTTTCCGTATCACGCGCATAGAGATTTATTTCACCTGCTAAATATCACGATTAAAATTCTACTTTGAATATTCTACGTGTTTCTGCATGTTACATGTATCCCGTAGAATTTTGGAATGATAAATTCTCCAAAAACGCGGGAATATTCGAGAAATGCATGAATTTAATTGAAAATTTTTCACTTCGAGACGCGAAGGTGCTCTTTGAAGAATGTTTTAATAATAGATCTCACTTGAAACTTTAATTCTTCAGGATCAGGAGCAAGAGACTTATTAAGCTTCTGATATTCATTATTTTACAAACGTCAGTGCATAAGGATCTGTTTAGTCTAGCGTAATAATTTCGCAGCCTCCTCGATCCCGTGATTAATTAAACAACAAAAGTCCAACGAATGTTCCTTGATAATATTGTTATGTAAAGTAAAAGAATTTCTTTCAAAATTTCATCAGTTTATGTATGATTTTGGTAAATAAAGAAATAAGCTACAAAAGAAAGTTCCTCTTCGCTTACAATTTTGAAAAATGACTGTAAAAATAAATTTATGTTAAGAGGTATGCCGAATGAAACGCATTGGCTAGAAATTTCTTTGTCGTCACTGAGTGCATGTCAAAAATTAAAAAAAAAAAAAAAAAAAAAAAGATACAGTGCAAGTCTAGACGGATATTTTCGAGTGTTCAAGAACGTTTATAGGAAGTTGCACGTTTATTTTTCATCGAGCCGGATGAATGGGCGCGAGAGAGCGCGGTCGAAGAAGACGGAGGAGACACGATCCTGTTCTATCGCTGGCTGGATGCACGGAGTGAACGCGACTGTCTCGATATTACAAAAGTTCGTCTAGACTGGATCGCGCAACGAGCAGAAAAGCCGGCGCCTCCTTTCCTTACGGCGAAAGATTGCGCCGTGGTACGGGGTAATTTGCGAGAAGGCTCCCACCGTTAAACAGCTATTTTTCGGCGTTCCTCGCCGCCTTGAACAGAAACGTCGCCGATTGGTTCTCCTTTCGGGGGCATTGAACGATGTAGAAGCACCGGGAGGGTTTTTTCTTTTTCCACTAAACAGTGAAAGAAAGTAATAAGAATCATTCGATTTTCTTTTACAATCTTGTTTTTTTTTCTCCACTAAACAGTTAAAGAAAGTAATGAGAATCATTCGATTTTCTTTTACAATCGTTGTCATCTATCGATCTTGTTGGTTTTCCACTAAATAGTGAAAGAAAGTAATGAGAATCATTCGATTTTCTTTTACAATCTTGTTTTTTTTCCCACTAAATAGTGAAAGAAAGTAATAAGAATTATTCGATTTTCTTTTACAATCTTGTTTTTTTTTTTTCACTAAACAGTGAAAGAAAGTAATAAGAATTATTCGATTTTCTTTTACAATCTTGTTTTTTTTTTTCCCACTAAACAGTGAAAGAAAGTAATGAGAATCATTCGATTTTCTTTTACAATCGTTGTCATCTATCGATCTTGTTGGTTTTCCACTAAACAGTGAAAGAAAGTAATGAGAATCATTCGATTTTCTTTTACAATCGTTGTCATCTATCGATCTTGATTTTTTTTTTTCACTAAACAGTGAAAGAAAGTAATAAGAATCATTCGATTTTCTTTTACAATCGTTGTCATCTATCGATCTTGTTTTCTTTTTCATTTTTTTAATTTTTATAAGCTAAAAGATAAAATTTAAATACACATTTGTTTCATCTGTTACGCGTTGTAATATTCTAGATATTTTATATATTTTTGTGCTGTGTGCGTTCTCGTAACTTTACAAATGTGAATAAAAATCTGCAGCGTAACAGTCGGGATTAATCTTGCCGTGTTCTTTCGATTATTTTTTCAATCTTAATCCTCAAATGGCGTTTGTACAGTCACGATTGATTATAATAATTTATAAAAACTTGATTCTATTTTGTACTTTGTACTCTCTCTGAGATGAGAGTCGGTAATTAAATTCAATTAAACTAGAAATTTCAAAATTAAGCAAATGTGAAACTCAAATATTTAACTTTGACCAAATAATATTACACACTCACGAATGTTTGTAATAATTTGTATTATATTATACAAAATTTCTATTTCTATTATTTATATTATTCTTCCATTTTTATATATGAAATATAAAAACAGGAGAATAATAGAAATATAGTATAAAAATACATAAAATATAAAAAAGAAGAGTAGCTGTTACAGCTACTCTCCTTTTTTCTATTTTATGTATTTTTACATTATATTTTCTGTATGTATCATTGCTCATGTATATAAACAACACATTAGCAGAAGAAAATATCTCAACGTAGGCTCCAGTTTTCGCAGAAATATAATATTGCACGGGGATCCGCGATCAGATACATAAGAGCAAACGAGTCGATTCGAACTTTCACTCAACGTCGGCGCATCGTTGCCGTGCCATCGGCAAAACCGGAATCTCGAGCATCCTCGGCGTTCGATCGTTTCCAGTTGCTCTCGCCGATGTAACAGATTCAGGGCTAGATAAGTCAGTCACTCGAAACGGGGTCAGCGAATTCCACCGGGCGACGGAAGCGTCCCTTTGACGAGGCAATGATCGATACGATCAGCCGGTTGACAGCTGACGTAACCCAATTCACGTTTCGAACCGAAGTCACGTTTTTTTCACTGTCCGATTTCATTTTCCACGAAAAAAAATTCACGTACGTACGTACCCGATGAACCAGAGTCCGCCTCTGGACGACTGCACGTACACGCGTTAACCCTTTGACCGCGGCAGACTTTAAAATAAATAAAATCACTGCAAAATAAAAATATTAAGCAAAAAATAACTGCAAAGTGAGTATATTTAAACAATTAATGACTAATATGTAATTGTTGAATCAGCATTCACTTACGTCTGATTCAAATGAGATTTGTTGGAATTGTGGTCGGTAAAATTTTCCAGACGCCTGTAGGCGCTTCTCGTGTCGACGGATCAAAGTGAGTTAAGCGCCTGCAGGCGCCTACAGTAAGGGCAATTTTATAAGCGCCTGCAGGCGCCTACAGTACGAGCAATGTTTTAAGAGCCTGCAGGCGTTTACAGTAAGAGTAATTTTTTAAACGCCCGCAGGCGCCTACAGTAAGAGTAATTTTATAAGCGTCTGCAGGCGCCTACAGTAACAGCAATTTTTTAAGCGCCCGCAGGCGCCTACAGTAAGAGCAATTTTATAAGCGCCTGCAGGCGCCTACAGTAAGAGTAATTTTATAAGCGCCTACAGTAAGAGTAATTTTTTAAGCGCCTGCAGGCGCCTACAGTAAGAGTAATTTTATAAGCGCCCGCAGGCGCCTACAGTAAGGGTAATTTTTTAAGCGCCCGCAAGCGCCTACAGTAAAAGTAATTTTTTAGGCGCCTACAGGCGGCTACAGTAAGAGCAATTTTACAAGCGCCTGCAGGCGCCTTCAGTAAAAGCAATTTTACAAGTGCCTGCAGGCGCCTACAGTAAGAGTAATTTTTTAAGCGCCCGCAGGCGCCTACAGTAAGAGTAATTTTATAAGCGCCTGCAGACGCCTACAGTAAGAGTAATTTTTTAAGCGCCCGCAAGCGCCTACAGTAAAAGTAATTTTTTAGGCGCTTACAGGCGGCTACAGTAAGAGCAATTTTACAAGCGCCTGCAGGCGCCTTCAGTAAAAGCAATTTTACAAGTGCCTGCAGGCGCCTACAGTAAGAGTAATTTTTTAAGCGCCCGCAGGCGCCTACAGTAAGAGTAATTTTATAAGCGCCTGCAGGCGCCTACAGTAAGAGTAATTTTTTAAGCGCCTGCAGGCGCCTATAGCAAGAGTAATTTTATAAGCGCCTGCAGGCGCCTATAGTAAGAGTAATTTTTTAAGTGCCTGCAGGCGCCCACAGTGAGAGCAAGTTTTCAAGCGCCTTTAAGCGCCAACAGCGGTCAATGGTTTAATTGTGGATGCAACGCGAACTCGCGAGTTCCCAAGAGGATCGACTGAATTATCAACTGAGTACGTACTACGCGTGGCTAACCTTTCGGTGTTCTCGCGAAGTAAAAGAAGAAATCGCTTAATGCCAGCCAACACACACACGCTGGTTAGAAGGTCTGGCGATGTTAAGACGACCATGATTATCAGCGTACGTTTTCACTGGACGAGACTCGAAGGATCTTCGAATGGAGTTTTGTGGGAAGGTTCGCGTTTCGCGTTTCTGTGAACAACACGTTGAGACACGATTGCGGGTATTAGCTGCGGTTTATCGTGCACGGGGTGTCGTTAATCTTACCGTTAATTAATCTTATTCTTTCGCGCCGCTACTTTTGTAATCCCTCACTTTGTTTTGGTGAGAACAACGAGGAGGACCTCGATTGCGGTATTAACTGTTGTTGCGCCGTGTCGTTAATCTTGTCGTTAATTAATCTTACTTCGCGTTACCTCTTTTGCGGCTTTTCGTTTCGTGCTACTCCTGCTTTATTGGGAAAAATACGAAATTTCTCGGATTGCACTGTATCGTCGATTAATCTTTCTTCAACGTTGGAGTTTAGGTTTAATTTGCAAACGAAATTGGTTAATGGTGATAAAATTTTCCATGCATCGTTTGAAACGTAAGGAGTTATTCGAGAATTATATAAATCTCCAAATAATAATAATGACATCAATTAGTAATAATATTAATAACGCCATTAATAATAATAATATCAATAATT